TCGTATGGTTAAGCCTCCACAGCGACCTCCAAGTAAAAGGTGGGAGAAGGTCGTGCATCCTAAGTTTCCAAAAGAACCTGTGAGAAATCTTAGAACTTTGAGAAGAAGGTTGCAGCGAAAGCGAGCAGAGGCACGTCGTCGTCAACAATTAGCTACTGAGGAAGTTAAGGTTCCACAAAGTTCTCCCGCAAAGGGAAAGATGGTGTGGAAGAGAAAAGAGAGTCAAGAGGTTGCTGTCCAGAATGACTCTCAACCGAAGGTGCCACCTCCTAAGCTCACCTCACTGATCATCAATGAAAATAAGTTGAAGGCAACCTTTGAAGCAGATCAACAAGCAAAGTTGGCTAGTGATGATAATCTTCTTGAGGACATGGATGTTCTGCAGATCGGTGACATCTCTATTAATCTCTCTTGTTTGGTTCTCACGCTTCCTTTGGTTTTTCAAGCCAAGGGCAGCGAGACTAGCCATGTTCCTACCCATGTTTCCAAGGGCAGCATGGTTGTTGAAGAAGAAGTGATAGAGGTTCCAGCCTAAGAAGAGGAAGAGGAGCATGATATCCTCCCAGAACAAATTATCTTTAACAAACCAAATGAAAATGTGACTCGTCATATAAAGCCACTCTACATTTCAGCTCACATGGATGGAGTTCCAATGAATCGAGTCCTTGTTGACAATGGAGCAACAGTCAACGTCATACCTTCTTCTATGCTGAGGAATTTGGATAAAAATTCTGAGGACTTGGTTTATACTGATGTAACCATCAGTGATTTCACAAGTGGTGTTAGCAAATCAAAAGGAGTACTGCCAGTTGCACTTACTGTCGGCAGCAAGACGTCAATGAGTGCTTTCTTTGTTGTAGACTCTTCTGCAACTTATAATGCATTACTAGGACGTGATTGGATCCATTTGAATTGGTGTGTTCCATCTTCGCTCCATCAAAGACTAATTTTTTGGAATGGAGGCAAAACTGAGATGGTTTATGCTGACAACAGACCATTCTTAGTCAATTCCAATATGGTGGAAGCACGGTACTATGATGAAGACGTAGGAACCATTCGTTTCTTCGGCATGGATAGACAAGGAAAACCTCATGGAATCACTGCTTGCAACAAGCCTATATTGGCTAAGTATGTGGTTGACGAGGTATGCAATGAACTCTTGCGACCTACTGCCATTATTCCATATAGGCCGCAAGAGGAGCCCAAAATTGAGGAGTTATTATGAAAAAATCCAGGATAAACAAAGAAAGAAGGGAGGCCGTATCTGAAATTCTAAAAAAATTAGTGGCCTATTTTGCTGAAAGAAATACAGAAGCAAATCTGTCGGAGGTGGTACATGAAGGTGAAGGGGATACCCATACTGACAGAGTCACAATGGAGGAGTTAGATCTGACCCCTACAAAGCTGGATGACCTCAGGGCCGATGTACAAGATCCATTGAAGGAAGTTAATCTGGGAATGGAGGCAGAGCCACGCATTACTTTTGTCAGTGGCTTGCTACCGCCAAAGATGCGAGATAAAATAATTTGTTTACTACATGAATTCAAAGACTGCTTTGCTTGGGATTATTCTAAGATGCCAGGTTTAGACCGAGAGTTGGTAGAGCATAGACTACCAATCAACAAAGGATATAAGCCGTACAAACAACCGCCACGCCATATGTCTCCAGAAGTGATTTTGAAGGTGAAGGAAGAAGTGGAGCAGCTGCATAAAGTTGGTTTTATACGGACAGCCAGGTACTCAGAATGGTTGTCTAATATTGTTCCAGTAGTGAAGAAGAATGGAAAGCTCAAACTCTGCATTGATTTTCGGAACTTAAATCTAGCCACACCAAAGGATGAATACCCTATACCAGTAGCAGATTTACTTGTTGATGGGGTTGCACGCCATCGCATTTTATCTTTTATGAATGGGCATAGTGGCTATAATCAGATCTTTATTGCAAAGGAAGACATAAGTAAAACGACATGTCGTTGCCCTGGAAACATAGGTACATATGAATGGGTCGTGATGCCATTTGGGTTGAAAAATGCAGGAGCTACATATCAGCGGGCCATGAATGCAATTTTCCATGATATGATTGACCGCTTCATGGAGATTTATATCGATGATGTTGCTGTTAAATCCATGAAGGATGAAGAACATTTGGAGCACTTGAGGAAAGCTTTTGAAAGAATGTGACAGCATGGTTTGAAGATGAATCCTCTCAAGTGTGCTTTTGGTGTTACAGCAGGGAATTTTTTGGGTTTTCTGGTCCATGAACGAGGCTTAGAGGTGGACAAAAACAAAGTAAGGGCCATAATTGAAGTGCGACCACCACAAAATAAAAAGGAATTACAAAAGTTTTTTGGTCAGGTTAATTTCCTAAGGAGGTTTATCTCTAATTTGGCAGGCAAAACTCGTGTCTTTTCACCTCTTTTGAAGTTGCAGCCTGATGTAGATTTTAAATGGGAGAGGCAACACCAGGCCGCCTTTGATGCCATCAAGGAATACTTGTCCAAGCCACATGTGTTAGTTCCTCCAGTTAAGAATAAACCCTTATTGCTGTATATATCCACCGCAGATGAGTCAATTGGCTGTCTGCTAGCGCAAGAGAATAATAATAAACAAGAACAAGCTGTTTATTATTTCAGTAGAGCTTTGAATCCGACCGAAGTGAAATATTCTTTGGTTGAGAAATTGTGTTTGGCCTTGTTCTTTGCAGCAATAAAATTGAGGCACTATTTATTGTATTCGGAGGTGTTTGTTGTTTCAAAAACTGATGTCATAAAATACATGTTGTTGCGGCCACTCTTAAAAGGCCGCATTGGTAAGTGGATTCTTGCACTTACTGAATTTAATCTGAGATATTTGCCTCAAAAAGCTGTTAAAGGACAGGCTTTAGCAGACTTTTTGGCAGATCATCCTTGTTTAGATGTTAATGCTGATGAAGACAAGGGAATCAATCTCTTTTCGATTGACTTGGTTCCTTGGAGGCTTATTTTTGATGGGTCTAGCACTAATCAAGCCTCCGGGGCTGGAATTATTATTGTTTCTCCAGATGGCATAACAACCCAATGGTGTTTTCAGTTGGATTTTGAATGCACCAATAAGCAAGCAGAATATGAAGCTTTGGTAATTGATCTTGAGTTGTTGGTAGAGTTAAAGGTGCCATCGATTGAAATTATGGGTGATTCTCAATTAATTCTCAAGCAATTGAGTGGCGAATACAAGTGTACAAGCGTGGTTTTGTCTCCATATTTTGCCACTGCCATCCAATTACTCGAGGAATTTGATGATGTCTCCCTGAAGCATATTCCTCACAACATGAATATTGAAGCAAATGAACTTGCGCAGATCGCTTTAGGTGTAAAAATGCCTGAAGGCATCTTGGAGAAAGTCATCATCATCGAAAAACGTATGTTGCCTTCAATTCATCAAAGAAGAATAACGGTGGAAGCATGCTCACTAGATGTCACACCTACAGACTGAAGGCATCCAATAATAGAACATTTGAGGAATCCCAGTTCTAAAACATCAAGGAGAACGAGGATGCAAGCTTTAAACTATGTGCTACTCGGGGATGTTCTGTATCGTAGGGGGCAGGATGAATTATTATTGCGCTGCCTCGGTCCTGATGAAAGTTGCCATGTGATGTCAGATGTTCATAATGGTATTTGCGGTGCTCATCAGGCAGGGATTAAGATGAGGTGGCTAATTCGAATGCATGGTTTCTTTTGGCCATCTATTCTTAAGGATTGCATCAATTATGCGAAGGGCTGCAGAGCTTGTCAGCTGCATGGTCCTTTGCAGCGAGCGCCAGCTTCTGAGTTTCTTCCTATTGTCAAGCCATGGCCTTTTTGTGGCTAGGCAATTGATTTGATTGGGAAAATCTACCCACCTTCTTCTAAAGGTCATTCTTTCATAATAGTTGCTACAGACTACTTTACTAAGTGGGTGGAGGCAAGGCCTATGAAAAAGGTTGAGCAAGGAAATGTCATCAAGTTCATAAAAGAGGATCTGATCCACAGGTTTGGTTTGCCAGAAACTATCACTTCTGATCAAGGTACTGCTTTTGTTGGATCTCAAGTAGAGGCCTTTGCAAAAAACATGGGATTTCATTTGCTTAATTCAACTCCGCATTATGCACAAGCAAATGGTCAAGCAGAAGCATCTAATAAGATTATAATCAACATCCTGGAGAAAATAGTTGATGATAATCCCAGTAGATGGCATGAGCTTCTTTCAGATACTCTCTGGGCATACAGAACCTCACAACGGAGTTCAACTAAGGTGACCCCATTCTCACTTACTTACGGTCATGATGCTGTCTTGCCTATGGAATTAACGGCAAGGTCTTTGTGGATTGCAATTCAAAATGGCTTGAATTCTGGGGAATACAATGAGGCCATGATCATGGAGTTGGAAGACCTTGAGGAAACAAGGCTGATAGCATTGGATGTGATGAAGGCCCAGAAGCTTAAAGTGGCACGAGCTTACAACAAAAGGGTCAAGCAAAAGAATTTAGAAGAAGGAAGGTTGGTTTGGAATGCTGTGCTGCCACTTGGCAAGAAGGATCCCAGATATGGTAAGTGGTCCCCTAATTGGGAAGGATCATTCCAAATTCATAAAGTTCTTAAAGGAGGTGCTTATTGGTTAAAATCTTTGAATGGGGAGTTGCATCCACGCAAGATCAATGGCATCTACTTGAAACCATATTATTCGACTGTGTGGGAGGCAAGGGATAGTTCTACCTCCACGTCTGCATGATCTAGGTTTGCAAACATTTGTATATTATTCAAGTGTTTTTTTTTCTTTCAATAAGGACACGTAGAGTTTTGGCTTGAACCATGGAAGCATACATAAGACTTGGTACTGCTAAGGAGGCATGGCATGTTCTTACATTTTTGTTTTAGGGTGGCTTTGTTTGTAAAGCCGTGGCAGCATGAATAAAGCAAGCAAATAAAGTCATGTTCATCATTAGAAGAAGAAAGATAAAAGAAGTCTGGAAAAAAATGTTCAAGCGGCTTAATGGCCGTGACAAGGATGAATGATGCTAAAAAAAAAAAAAACTTAGCAAAGGTTTTGCATCCAGGCAGCCCACTCATCTCTCATTTGCTGTAGTGTGTTGTTGGCTTCCTTTGCTTTCTCCTCCTGTTGTGCAGCCTCACTCTTTGCAACCAAAGCTTCACGTCCTTCTTCCTTGAGCTCAACTAGTAATTTGCTTCTCTCGGCTTTAAGGGATTTGAGGTTGTCTTCTTCCTTTGTTGTTGCCTTTTTCAACTCGGCAAGGCGGGCTTCTAGTTTGGCAATCTCATCTAGGTTGTCTTGATGCAGCTTCATTTGGGTGTTAATGTTATTTTTCACCTTTTCATAAATACTCTTTTTCTTCTCTACTGCATCTTTACATTGCCAAGAAAGATCTGCAGCCGCGGTTGCTTCTGACACAACTTTCTTCTCATTCATAAACCGCTGGCTAAAGTTCTTGTAAACAATAAGGAAATTGCTCCAGAACATACGCAATGATGCATCCAATGTGGGAACCTTGCTTAAGACCTCAGCAGCATTGAATGCCTCATTTTGATCAACGACTTGGCAAAGTTCAGATGGATTACCATTCAATAGCTCAAGGAGAAGGTGGGTGGCAACATCGATGGATTCTTGAGAAGGGACATCCGGATTGTTCTTTTCTTCTTCCACGATCTTATCTTTTAAGCTAGGAGGCATGGACTTTTCTATTTCCAAGAAGTCATCCAAGAGGTCCAGTTGAGCAAAAACCTCACTCTCAAGGGCATCATCATCTATCTCAATCACGAGTGAAGCAGCCTACAATCCATATGGCAGCCATGTAAACAAAAATTAAATTAAGTGGCAGCAAGAAACATGAAGAAAGTACGTGTATCTACCTGTGCAGGAGCAATAGGCCTTGGCGGTGAGGTGGTGACCGACTGCAATTCTTCTCTTGTGAAGTCGGCTTGCTCATTTGATTCTACAGTTTAAAAAAATTGGCTTGTAACCCTAGGGGAAGATCAAATAGCTTTGGTCATTGAGCAAGGAGGATTGACCTTTGTGATCGCAAGCTTAGTGGAACTATGAATAGATGCTGTTGCATAAAGTTGGATTAGTTTCATACAAGGAAAGAAGCAAAACAATGAAGGCTAAAAATTTACCTTTTGCAATTTTATTTGGTGCATCCTCTTTATCAAAAATCTGTGGAGAAGACGTTTTCCTCTTAGTAGGTTGCGTCTTTGGTTTCTCATTTGAGGAATTCTTGACTTTGCCAATGGGTGGAGGATTTTCGACTTTGCTTTTATCTTCCTTTCTGTTATTTTATGGGGGAGCAAATTGGTCCAAGGAACTCATTACAGCACGAAAGCATGATGTGAAGTGTGACGTCCACCAGTCTTTATAAGCTTTAGTGCAGTCGGGATGGCTAAGTGGAGGTGGCTGAAAGTCAATTGAGTTGAGGAACGTGCTGGTAAGTTGAACCTGCTCTTGTATTGATTCGATGTCAGGAAAGAGGAACCTCAAAGGGAAGTAAACATTTCCGGTAAACTGAGGTGGAGCAGGGATGTCTTGGCAATATCCAAGTTGCAGACAGAATTGATTAGGAGTGTATAGCTCTGAGTTGCACCTTGATTGTGGCCCCCCAATGCTGCAGCCTATGAATAAATCTCTTGGAGAGATGTAAGCTTTCCAGCAAGCTTTGAATTCCTCACTGTTCCTATTTGCTTTATACCATTCTGGGCCATACTTCCTTTCAAGAAATACTGCCAATTCTGCATTTGGCCGGTCAATTGAGAGGGATGCAAAATAGTTAAAATATGTCTTGAAACTTTGCAGCACCTTCTTTGCATCTTGGACGCACATGCCATAAGTTAGCAAATCTTCCTCATCAACTTTCTCAAATTCAGGGGCGATAGTTGGGAAATAAGAATAAAGTTGCAATTGTAAGACCAAAGAGCACCACTGAATTTCCCAAATGGAAAGATGGTGACATCATAGCATCCA